GTGTCGTGAAATTATGTAAAACAAAGTATAATATTTTTCTCAATAAATCCACATTACAACCAAAAACGTTTGCGGCACCCCTCTTCTTTTTAATATACATACTTTTCTCTCGTTGGAACCACTACAACATATTTCTTTTATATATATATATATATATACTTAATAGTTATACTGTTATATTACATCGAGCACTACTCTTTGACAACAGCACTCATTGTGCAATATCTTATATTATTTTTCCCAATTATTTTAAAGACACACAAATTCATAGACACATATTTTTCGTCTTCGATTTGATGAAGTCATTTAGACGAAATGCATATCGGATATTATTATCGAAACATACTTGCATGAACGTTTTTCCAAATGTCAATATATATGTATGCGCATGTGATATACGCAATACACACACACACACACACACACACATATATAAATATATATATACTCTTTACAATTGGAATTACGATACCTTTAGTAAATGACCATTTTCACCTACGAATTTTAATTATAAAATTCGCAGGATTTTTCAAACTGTTTCTCGTATCAGCTTGTAGTGTACTCTCATATATATATATATATATATATATATATATATATATATATATATATATATATATGAATGGTTTAGTTCCCTTGAATGTGTTTTTTATAATAATAGTGTGGATTTCAAATGTAAAATGCACACACACCAAAATCATAGTGCTTAATGCAGCTAAAGTTGATAATCGCCTAATCGATAATGCAATTTGCATTGGATAATCGGCAAAACTGTCTGCAAAATAAGGATGCGCTTTATACAAGGGTGCGTCTTATATTTCCAAAAATACATTATATATCTATATATATAAACAGTTTGATAACGACTGATAATATATATATATATATATATATATAAACACTTTGATACAGACTGTTAAAATCATGTCATGGTTGGTTGGTTTCACACGTCAATCCTTGTTAGGTTATGTAATGTCAAATTTTGTATAAGGCATTCAGTAAGGATCGAACTCAGAATTATTAGTCTCATGAACAGTTACCCTAATTGCACGCTGAGGCGACTGAAAAAAATCAGAGATAGATAGATAGATAGATAGATAGATAGATAGATAGATATTACGTAAGTAATAATAAACGAAAAATTGAATATGTTTTTAGCTTGTAACGACCTGATTCTAAACCTCGGACAACTAGTTTTAAATTAAAAACATCCTACGTATATAATATCTCAAAACGAGGTCAATTGTGGGAAATGTATCAGCAACTCCCAGCACTCCCCACTTTAGTCCTGTTTATTCATTTATAATCATTAAGATCACGAATGATTCAAGTCGTGAGTCAAAATTTCCAGGTCACAATGTAATGTTTTTTGAAAAGTTTTGCCCATGAATACAATAAATAAACAAAAAGAAAAAATGGGATTAAAGCCAAAGAAAAACTATAAACAAAGACACAAGAGTTCGATATATTTGATCGATCACCTTCTTCGAAATCTTATCTTATAGCTGATGTAATTTACATATAAGTTTTATACAGATATATTTTTAACAATTATAATATTAAGATAACATAATATTGATTAATTAATTGTTTCATACGAAATGTTGTATTTTCCATTTGTCGATGTTTGACAAAACTTAAGGTTTTATTTTAGCACTTTTTTTTTACTAATTTCTTTGTTAGTTCGTTTTCAAGTTTTTTTTTTCATAATAATATTTGTAACCGATTTATATTGTTCGGACTGTTGATTTCATCTTTATTGTCATATTCACAACCTTTCGGTCGTTGTACGCTCTGGCCTTCTTCAGGTGATATATGTTGGAATTTCGTTTTAGTTCCACATGCTATACCTTTTTCCAACGTATATCACCTGAAGAAGGCCGGGGCGTAAAATGGCTGAAACGTTGTGAATATGACAGTAAAGGTGAGGACAACCGTCCGAACAATGTAAATAATGTAAATAGTTGCAATACCTCATCTCCAACATAGAGACAAATCCTGAAGACAGTCGGAACGTAGAACGGTCGAAATATGACAATAAATGTGATTATGACAATAAAGATGAGGACAACCGTCCGAACGATGCAAATAGTATAAAAAGTTTGGGGGGGGGAGATATTAGAATTATCCACAATCTATACTGGCAGCAATCAGCCTGCATACGGAAAGAAAATGAATTCAGTAAATATAGAAAGGGGTGTAAGACAAGGCTGGGTCTTCTCACCGGACTTATTCAACCTATGCAGTGTGGTGATTTTTGAGAGAATTAGAAATCCTACTTCACTCTTAACGGTCTACCGTTCAAAGGTTGTCCTTAATAACATATCATATGCAGATGACACAGTATTGATAGCAGACACAGAAAGGAAACTACAAAAACTTCTACAGAGGGTAGTGAAGGAAAGCGAGAACAAAGGACTAAACTAGTGGTTCTTAACAGGACCCATACAATAAAATAGCAGATGGCAGGTCTATGGTGAAAGAAAGTGAGAAAAAAGAAGTAAACATTAACTGTTAGCAAATGGGTTTGTCCAACATGCAAATTACAAATTGGAGATAAAATCAAACAAGTACAATAGCTAGGAAATGTATTAACAAAGAATAGAGAGTGTGACACTGACGTCCGAAGTTGTATTGGGATAGTGAAAGATACCTTCTGAAATCTAAGACAAGTATTAAGAAACAAGAAAAATTTAGTTAGAAACAAAGAAAAGAGTATGGAACTGTTATGTGATATCAGTCCTCCTCTATGGCAGTGAATGTTGGACGATGTAGATGAAGAAGAGACTTGAAGCAAATAGAAATGTGGTTCTACAGAAGGATGTTGAGAATGCCATAGACCGAATATGTGTGCAACGATGAAGTTTTAGAGAACATGGAAACAAAAAGGAGACAGGAAGGGGCAGTTGAAATTTCTAGCTCATATAATGAGGAAAGAGGGCTTCGAAAATCTGTTACTCACAGGACAGATTGAAGGCAAGAGGGACAGAAGAAAACAGTGCATAGCCTACCCAGAGAGCTTGAGTAAATGAATGGTGGACCAAGATTAAGGATAGATAACAAAAAGGCAAATTTTATTAAGAGCTACAAAGGATAGAAATTTGTAGAGAGCCATGATCGCCAACATCTTGATGAGACAATGTATATAGGAAAAGAATTGTTCATGTCAGAATTATATAGTGATGGTTTGGGTAAATTTATTTAGAAGAACTTTGAAAATAATCCAAAAGAAAAACTTATAAGAAATATGCAAAAGTGAATTTATTGGTTTGACAGAATCGGAAAACAACAGTTAGAAATGCTTAAGGAGAGCTTGGAACATCTTGCATGTACGTAAAGAAAAAAAACAGCCTAGATTCGTGCATAAAGATACCCCAATTCTACTCTATGACAATGCACTCCTTCACTCTTCACGGTCTACCGTACAAAAGTTACCCAACCTTAGTTATGAGATTTTAAAGTAACCACCTCATTCCCCAACCATCTCTTCCGCTGATAATCAATTATTTAAATACTTTGAGCATTCCACATAGAAGAATTGCTTATAATGAAGAGTGGATAGGGGAAGCATTTGAACAGTTTATTAAAGTAAAGCATAAAGAATTTATAATGCCATGTAAAAAGTATAGAGTGTCATAAAATCGTGCGACCTCTATCCCATAATAGTTGTTAAACTTGCGTATATATATAATACATGTTTGCAGACCAGTTTGGTTAAGATGTCCTACTCCACTCGCCATTGTTACCTGATCTTGCATCTTCGGATTACCACTTATCTCGCTCCATACAAAATTTTCTTAATAGAAATATCTTGAATTCTCTGAAAGCTTGTAAAACAAATTAGACCATTTCACTACTCAGAAAGATGCCAAGTTTCTTGAGAATGGAATCATGGAACAAAATGGCACTAGAAACTTTTTGTTCCAACCAATACGTCTGATAAGAAAATGAATTCTTCTTTAAGGTCTTATATTATCATAACAATGAAATGTGCGACAGGATTTGAGTTCCAAGCAGCCTTAAAAGGAATCACCTCTAAAAAGAAATAATCATATTCTGATATTGTTTGCTATTTATTCACTTGATATAAAATTCGTAGCAATTTTAGAAATTCACTTTAAAAATCGATCCAGTACATAAACAGTTGACATTGTGTTGTATTATTTATAGTTTTTTAAAGATGATATTTAGTCGTATCATTGTTGCAATTATTATTATTATTATTATTATTATTATTATTATTATTATTATATTTCCTTTGATTTCTGGTGTGTACTCATTTCTTTCCGGATCCCGCCCAGAGACCTGTTAGAAATGTCATCATAACATTTTCCACTGAGCGATTTAAAAAAAAAAGGTAAATAAAAAAAAATAAATATAAAGAAAAACACACATATTTTACAGAGATAAAGTCCTTCGTAAGGTGAGGGATGTACTCGTGCGAACAATTTTTTGTATTTATTATTATTATTATTATCTATTTTTCAAGTAGATCTTACGCAGTAATTTAATGAACAGGGATTGGTTAGTGATTTTCCAAGCGTAGCTTAGATGTGGCACAAGGCCGAAGTGTATGGGGCACCCATTGAGGATCGAACTCACTAGTCAGTCGTAATTGTTCTAGCGAGACAAGCTTGCTAACCATTACACCGCCTCGAGATGCCCAAAACAGGGATTGGGTATGAGTCAATTTCTTCACCCTTCTAAATTATGGCTTCCTGAAGCAGTGTATGTCAGTTCAAATCACAGGGCCAATTTTATCCAACCATTATTAGATTTTGTCTGTCACAGTTCCATAGCTGCCCACAACAACGAGTACATCTTATATTTTCTAAAAAAAACCCTACAAGGATGCCCTCTCTCATGTTTCAAATACTGATAACCTTTCTTCTTTCCTTTCTCAACTCTACCTTCGTATATATCCGAAATATATCGATAACCAAACACTGTTTGCCTTCTTCATAGCCAGTAATAATGTCTGTCTTTCCTGCATCAGTTGCATGAGCACATTGCATGGTGAAGTCCGAGAACAACTTAGCACTCTCATTCCCCAATAATGCAAGTATTATTGTTGTTGTTATTATTATTACTGATTTCCTGTTTCGTAAAATCCTTTACCAACTCTTACCAAAGACCTGAATGAAAGGAAGGTTATTCTCAGAATGTTATTGAACCGATTACATCCAGAGAATTTGGGATTTGTGCTCATGACTATAATTTCTCATATCTTACAGAATGGCGGCTTTCCTGCAATTTTCTTAACCTGTATTTCTCTACTATTTTAATTATTCCTTTCACTCCCCTATTATTCCTTTCATTCCCTTTATTATTCCTTTCATTCCCCTATTATTCCTTTCATTCCCTTTATTATTCCTTTCATTCCCATTATTATTCCTTTCATTCCCCTATTATTCCTTTCATTCCCTTTATTATTCCTTTCATTCCCCTATTATTCCTTTCATTCCCTTATTATTCCTTTCACTCCGCTATTATTTCTATCACTCCCCTATTATTCCTTTCATTCCCTTATTATTCCTTTCATTCCCTTTATTATTCCTTTCATTCCCCTATTAGTGCTTTCATTCCCTTATTATTCCATTCACTCCGCTATTATTCCTTTCATTCCCTTATTATTCCTTTGACTCTTCTATTATTCCTTTCACTCCCCTATTATTCCTTTCATTCCCTTTATTATTCCTTTCATTCCCTTATTATTCCTTTCATTCCCTTTATTATTCCTTTCATTCCCTTATTATTCCTTTCACTCCGCTATTATTCCTTTCACTCCCCTATTATTCCTTTTATTCCCTTATTATTCCTTTCATTCCCTTTATTATTCCTTTCATTCCCCTATTATTCCTTTCATTCCCTTATTATTCCTTTCACTCCGCTATTATTCCTTTCACTCCCCTATTATTCCTTTCATTCCCCTATTATTCCTTTCACTCCCCTATTATTCCTTTCATTCCCTTATTATTCCTTTCACTCTCCTATTATTCCTTTCACTCCCCTATTATTCCTTTCATTCCCTTTATTATTCCTTTCATTCCCCTATTATTCCTTTCATTCCCTTATTATTCCTTTCACTCTCCTATTATTCCTTTCACTCCCCTATTATTCCTTTCATTCCCTTTATTATTCCTTTCATTCCCTTATTATTCCTTTCACTCCGCTATTATTCCTTTCACTCCCCTATTATTCCTTTCATTCCCTTCTTATTCCTTTCACTCTCCTATTATTCCTTTCACTCCCCTATTATTCCTTTCATTCCCTTATTATTCCTTTCACTCCGCTATTATTCCTTTCATTCCCCTATTATTCCTTTCATTCCCTTATTATTCCTTTCACTCTCCTATTATTCCTTTCACTCCCCTATTATTCCTTTCATTCCCTTTATTATTCCTTTCATTCCCTTATTATTCCTTTCACTCCGCTATTATTCCTTTCACTCCCCTATTATTCCTTTCATTCCCTTCTTATTCCTTTCATTCCCTTTATTATTCCTTTCATTCCCCTATTATTCCTTTCATTCCCCTATTATTCCTTTCACTCCCCTATTATTCCTTTCATTCCCTTATTATTCCTTTCACTCCGCTATTATTCCTTTCATTCCCTTTATTATTCCTTTCATTCCCTTATTATTCCTTTCATTCCCTTTATTATTCCTTTCACTCCGCTATTATTCCTTTCATTCCCTTATTATTCCTTTCATTCCCTTTATTATTCCTTTCATTCCCTTATTATTCCTTTCACTCCGCTATTATTCCTTTCACTCCCCTATTATTCCTTTCATTCCCTTATTATTCCTTTCATTCTCTTTATTATTCCTTTCATTCCCCTATTATTCCATTCATTCCCTTATTATTCCTTTCACTCTCCTATTATTCCTTTCACTCCCCTATTATTCCTTTCATTCCCTTTATTATTCCTTTCATTCCCTTATTATTCCTTTCACTCTCCTATTATTCCTTTCACTCCCCTATTATTCCTTTCATTCCCTTTATTATTCCTTTCATTCCCCTATTATTCCTTTCACTCTCCTATTATTCCTTTCACTCCCCTATTATTCCTTTCATTCCCTTATTATTCCTTTCACTCCGCTATTATTCCTTTCATTCCCTTATTATTCCTTTCATTCCCTTTATTATTCCTTTCATTCCCCTATTATTCCTTTCATTCCCTTATTATTCCTTTCACTCCCCTATTATTCCTTTCACTCCCCCATTATTACTAAAATTGTGGGTGTGTTTTAATGCCATATTCTTGCAAATTATTTTGCTGAGAATTTTTAGTCAAACGATATTCTATGAGATCGTGCTAGTTTCTCTTGAAGTTTTTATTATTATTGTTGTTATTATTATTTGTATCTTGTATAATTTGAATTTGGAATCAAAAGACGGAGCTACATCTATGATATAGAACTGGTTTTTGAAGTTTATTATTATTTGGATTTCGTCTATTGGCTTCTATAGTGTAATCGTTATGTATGGTGCAGTCCCTGAGCACAGTCACATTTTCAGCTTCTAGAATTGATGGGTGGGATTATGTTCATACCATTTGTTGGCATGTCTTCCAATGTAGGTATTGCACCTTTCTTTACCCCATTATGTCTATATCTAAATTCATTTGGGGCCATGAGTAGAGTAACCGGATATTAGGTCCGTCAATAGATTATCATTCCCAATGGATTATCTTACCAATCTAATCCTATCGCCGCTTATACTCCTTTCTGTGCCAAATTGGGATATTCAGCGAATAGGTGGTTACCTGTCTCATCAGCTTCTCCACACATCCTGCATTTGCTTTCTTTTTGGGATTTGTCTATCCTGGCCTTGATTACGTTCATTCTGATTCTCCCGTCCCGTGCTGTAAATATGAGTGTCACTGTTTCTCTTTTTTAAAACCATCTTTTACCCAAAGCCAACTCTCAGTTGTCTCTGTTGAAAAACTGATCATGAAACATTTTTTCTTTTAACTTGTCAAGCGCCTTCTCCTACATCTTTGCTACAATCACTGGCTCAACATTTAGGTTTTTGAAGTTTATTATATCTGCTCTATTGGTTCGTACTGTGTAGTCACTATGTAGGACGATGTCCGTAAGCACTGAAAGTTTTTCCCCTTCTAGCACTGCGGGGATGGGGGGATGCTCATACCATTTTTCTGCATCGAGAAGGTTAATATTTTCCAAAGGCGAGATTTCTTTAGCTTATCATGTCTATATTGAAATTAATTTAATGTTAAGATAGAGCACCCAGTGTTAGAAAAATGTGAAGGCCAGGGTCAGAATGGTCAGCGATTGACCGGAGTGTCTCGTAAGCGTGATATATACTGACATTGATGGATTGCGTTGTCTAGGTTTTGGATAGAAGTCCAAGACGGCGCGAATTCAACAGACAACTGCAAGAATTCTTCTGAAGCGCCGATACGCTTCCGACATCCAAGTTGAAGAATTGGCTAAGACCACTCACGGAGGAACACTGAGCTAACGTGCGACATTCATCTCAGTACCTCTTAGAATCCAAACTGCCACCATTATCTCCTTTTAAAACGAATGTGAAAACAAAGAACTTATCCTTTTCGTTGATGCCATACGGTCAATAGTGTCCAGTTTATTCAACTACGTGATTGGTAATATCTTGTTGTCCGGTTTTGATCATTCGATTCAAATAGGGTTCGATTTGATATCATGGTGACAGATTAAGTGCCTACCAGGATATATTTCCTAATTTCAGGCAATGTTATGTTGCCAGTGATATCACTTTCGCGTAGATATTGATCCATATGACTCTATGAAATATAACATGAGAGACGTGTTCACTGATTTGTTCATTATGAGTTCGCATGTCAGTCTTTCCCAACGTTGCGTATGAGAGATACAATGATCTTGTGTTATTAGAAGAAGATGAAAAATCTCAGAGTTGATTATGTTGCGTTTATGGAAAATGTTTTCATAGTCAACAGTGAAATACATAACAAAATATGTGTTGGTAAAAGAGTACTGAACACTTATGTAATAGCTTCTATATGGAAGTGAACGCTAAGCAATCTGATTAATTGAGGCAACAGAAATATGGTTCTACAGAAGGATGCTGGGGATACCATGGACCAAACATGCAAACAACAATGAAGATTTAATGCAAATTAATACAAAAAGTACACTTATACTTAACATCATAAAGCGACAGTAAAAAATTTTAGGGAACATAATGAGGAAAGAGACTGGGAGAACTTGATACTCCCAGGACAGATTTAAAGTCAGAGAGACAGAGGAAAAGAGTGCAATACCTGCCTAACGAGCTTGCGCAAATGGTTGGCAGAACAGAGTTTAGGGGAGAGGCAAAAAGATAACATTTATTAAGAGCTACAAAGGACAGGAGATTGTGGAGAGCCATTATCGCCTACGTCCAGAAGAGACACAAGACATAGAAGAAGATTGTGCTAAGAAAACTTGTCGAAATAATACATGCAAAACGTAACAAGAAAATAGTCAAAGTTATGCGTGGCCAGGTTCATGTCGCCTCGATGAGATAAGCCATGATATTGTTTCCCAGCATGCCTCCTTACTCTTCCTTAGGTAGCAATAATGGAGACCAGTTTCAAATGTAATTAGTCTCAAAGTTGCGTGAAAAGATGTAAAATTATAGATGTTTCTGTGGCTTCATTGTCACTTTTGTTATGAGTTTACTTCAAAAAAATATTATTATAGATTAATTTCTAAAATATTATTATAGATTATTTTCTAAAATATTATTATAGATTATTTTCCAAATTAAATATCTCCGGTCATCATCATCATCATCATCGTCGTCGTCGTCATCGACATCATCATCATCGTCGTTATCATCATCTCTATCATCATTATCATCGCCGTCGTCATTGTTTTCACCATCATCGTCATTATCATCAAATATCTTATTAGAAGTCCCACGTGAATTCATTAAAAAAATATTGTAGAATTTGAATGACACGCACAATCAAAAAAAAAAAAAAAAAATTTAAATCTCTTTTGTATTCATTTTGCATATTTGATTTAAAAGAACTGATCCGATGTGCAAAATGTCGGGATAACAACTGAGACATTACTTATTGAACTGTTTACTTCATGCCACATTGACCGATAAACTCCTACAAAAAAAAAATTCTCTTAGCATTGCGACTGCACGCTCCAAAAGATTGTATCCGTTATCAATAAGACATTTCAAAAGAGATATATTTCGATTTGGATGATACCTGAATTTTACCAAAAACAATACACACACACACACACACACACACACACACACACACACACACACACACACACACACACATATATATATATATATATAATTATTTATTTAAAAAATTATAACATAAATATGTTATAAAATCACTACAAAAATAGCCATTTTGTTTCGGTGTCTTATCAAGTGATGATGTTGAATGTAAAATAAATGGTTTTAAAAGTTTCAAATTAATTAACGATCCTTCGCAAGGGGAAAGCGTTGTTACAAAAGTTAGAATAACCAATCAAAATACAAGTAAAGGAAAATTCAAAAAGCTTGACAACGAAGTCATGTTATAATAGCTATTCAGATCTTTAAAATAGGGGTAATATTAAAAAAAGAATTTATTCTAACCAATAATTATTAAATTATATGATAAAATTTGATATTAAAATTAAAAATAAAAATTACCAATTTTAACATCCAAATTTAATCATTATTAAGTTTAAAATTATAAAATTACTGAGGAGAAAAGAAGAAATACATATGTTATTCAATTTATTTCTTCATTGAAATTACGTCAGAATAGACGCTTATATGTCATCAGGTCCTCTGACAATATGTATACATTTTAATCCCAAGTGTGTGAATGGGGTCCTAACCTCACACGTAAAACAACACAAACACACTCAGATTATAATACATAAGCACCCATACATATTTAGATATATATACACACAAAAAGTGACAAGACAGGGAACATCTCCACGGCCCTTTATAAAAAAAAAAAGAGGGAAACAAACACAATATATATATATATATATATATATATATATATATACACGCACATTTGTGTATTTTGCAGACAATGTAGACCGCGCTTAATATATAAGCGTGTCTATGTAAAAACAAAGAATGGATCAGGAAGATAATGTTTCAGTTATCGTAATACGAACATACTCCGATCATTAGTGAATACCCATACGGATTATACAACAGTTTATAAGTACACCTCCGAAGATCACTGTAATCAGAACCCTAGCAACTGCTCTCTCCTCTAACCTAAGTCTGATGTCTCAATGGCGGTAGGATTGACTTGTAAAAAATACCCAATTATATCAACGGCCTGTCATCGGAATCCCATGAGATCAATGCCGGCAATATTCAGGATTCTCTTCCCGTTCCTACCCTCTTTCCCTTCCTTATTACTGATCTGCCTGAGAGCACACTCTGATCTTTAGTGTATATCCATGCGTATAATACAACAGTTTATAGGTAGTCATCCGAAAATCTGGATGACCAGAAACTAGCAACTGATTTCTCTTCTGAGCTACCACTGATGGCTCAATGGACGTAGGACTGGCTTGTAACGTTCCTTCATCATCGTGCAGATCCTAATCTTTCACCTGTTACGATGGAAAGAGCTCCTTGCCATGGCCGTCTATTAACCGCAAGTGGGACTCATCTCTCCGATCTGCTGCTAAAATTGTCGGTTCATTGTACAATTTTAGTATTTGTTTCCGCCTACCATATTCTCTCTTTACAGAACTGTTTTCCCGATCATTACGCTTGATCGTTATCTTTCCTACCTAAGTTCCTGAACTGCACAGCTTGCCTTTACTTTTGCTCAAAAAACACCACGCAATAACCATCTACCTTGATTGGCTCTTGAGTCTTGTTACGGGTGATCATTAGTATAAAATATAGCATCATAAATTTAAATACAATAAAAACAGTAATAGTTGTTCCAACAATAGATGCAACAATAATAATAATAATAGTAAACAACCACTTCATAATTTTAGTATGGATAAGTAATTTCTCGCTTTTATATCCAGAAGGCACGTCCATATTTAGATACGTTCACCTACCGTCCGGTTCACACTCCTTCCCGGTTTTTTGAACAGGGATAGAGTAGCGTTTATCCATTTATTTTTCTGTTTAAGATTAGGTTTCCGGTTGCTTCTAAAGTCTACTACAACTCTATACTTCTAAAATCTCTGCCTGAAACCTGAAATTTTATTTACTA